GGGACCTATAAACAATTTTATATGCCTACAGCTACCCCCTCCAAAGTATTTCAGTCTCGTTCTTTTATAGAAGAGTCTGGAATACTTTGGATATGCTTGTCCCAACCTTCAGTCGGTGTAATGGGACCTTGGAATGACTTCCGTTCTTGATTCCTTTAATTCTCCAGGCTATTCGGTGCTTTGTCGAACGTCTGTAAGGTTTTCGGTGCTGCATTTATTGTCTGACCGTTGTCGGAATTTTGAACTTTGAAGTCGGTTCCTGATTTAGCTGACCATCGATTGTTGGCGTCGAGTCTTTATCTGCAACGCGTTGTCCGGCGTCGTATTGTTGAGTTATCCTTAAGAGCACTGTTCGGCATTTGACACAGTTTATACTCGTACGTCTGCTGGAGTACACACGGTTTAAGCTCTTAAGGAATTGGAGCATGGATCTTATCCCAAGGTCGTTGGATGCTCGAGTCACGAGACCAACTCATAAAGTTGATGCGTCAATGACTCGCATATTTATAGGATTTTTGGCAAATCCTCAGCCATCAACGGGTTTGATGCGCCTTTACCGACTACCGTTTGAGTCGGGCTAGCATGCGGATTATCGGAATCCGTTCCGCATGTAACGTTGTGCTAAGGGAATGAACTCCCTTAGACTTCGTGCTATGATGTCGAATACATAGACTTCGCCATTGTTACGGGAATAGGCTACCCGGCGACACGTGTTAGGTGTTGACTTTAGGATTTTTGGCAAACCCTCAGCCATTAACGGGTTTGATGAGCCTTTACCGACTACCGTTTGAGTCGGGCTAGCATGCGGATTGTTCAAGTCCGTTCCGCATGTGACGTTAAGCTAAAAGAGTTAACCCTTTTAGTGCTACGATATTGAATACGTAGACTTCGTTTTTCTCACGGGAATAGACTATCCGGCGACGCGTGTTAGGCGTCGACTTTGGGGTTTTTGGCTAACCCCCAGCCTTCAACGAGTTTGATTAGCCTTTACCGACTACCGTTTGAGTCGG